TTTTTTTTTTCACTGGCTGAATGACTCTAGAATTGCGCGTGAAAAAAAAGAATTTTTTTTGTCTTAGGCATGGAGATGCATTGACGAAGAAGCAAAGAAAATGAAAGCAGAAACTGAAGGCGCCCAGGCTGAGACTTCAGATGTTAATGAAAAGTGTGAAAAGGTGGTAGATAAAAATGGTGAGTCAGGAGAACCCGCTAGTGAAGGTGGCAATGATGAGGGAGATAAGCGAGACGACGATAAAGTGGGTGACGTAGATGAAACAGTTATCGTTATTAGTTCTTTGTTTTCATTTTTAACTTATTTTAGAACTAACTCAAAGTTATTATTGAAACTTAAACTGCATAAAAGGCTTTTATGCACATACCAAAATGAGTTATTTGCAGCCTGTAGTTCCAGTTGAGAAGAATTTTAAGTGGAGGAAAGCTATTAAACGGGCGCTGAAAGCTTCTGAAGATGGAACGATGAAAGTTAAGAAGTTAAGAAAAGCAGTAGTTAAAATGTTCCATGATGAAGGTTTCGAGGTGGGTGTTGAAAAGCTGGATGAATTGTTCGACCAAAAACTGAAGTCTAGCGGAGTTCTTATAGAAGGCAAGTTTGCGCGCCTCCCACCTTGATATCATAGTTTTTGAACTTGCTCACTTCCTCAGGTAATATGAGTGTGTTTTCATTACGCCATTGTTAGTTCTAATCATTTGTTGGTTACATTGCTTGCCGTACAAAATTTCGGGGCCTGCTCTGTCTGTGATAAGTTACATCCTTGTTCTTCTTAAAAATATTAGTGAATAGCGAACATGAACAGGTGTTGGCCCTTACTAATACTGTTTTAATTCTGTTTTTTCATTCCGCGCTGTTATCGTTGCAGTTGTTAACTAAAACACCTTCCTGAGTTACGTAAGCAATCTAGGAATGTTTCTTGCTGAGCTGTTGTTGAGTTTTGACACCTTTAATCAAAAAAAACTTGTTTACAAACAAGTGGTTTAGACATGCTGTTGTTTCTAACAAAGAGAGATAACTGACTCTTGATTTACATCAGTCGGTTTCAATAAACTCTACGGTGCCATTTAAGTAATGATTATAATTAGTATATTGCTAACTACTTTTCGAAATTTTTGTTAACTGCAACAGTTGTTGCGGATATCGTCTAATTTTTTTGGAAATTGCTGGGATACGCAATATCACTGCTATTTTTTGATTTTACTGCCTTGTTGATTTTGTTAAAGATAAAGAGTTAAACTCGGCAAAACTGCTCAGGGTGAGACCTGAGGAAAAAAGACAATTTTTTATCAATCATCAAAGTACCATCCAGAGACTAGCTTTGCAAATTTTATGTTAAAATCAGCACTTAGGTCGAGCGAAAATTGATTAAGCCAGGTAAGTTTCCAAGGAAAAAACAAAGTCAGTAGCATTATGCCGTAGACTGCAATCATTAGTTTTTTTGAATCATGTGAATGATCACTGAACAACTTGAGCAACTGCTGTATAACCCTCATTACAGGTAATCTTATGTAACCTGTTTCCGGAGAGGACTCATCGTTTAAGCACTCTTTTTAAATTTCTGTGATAAAACTGCGGTTGGGTTTTATTACTTATCCGCTAATAAAAACTGCAAATGCTTGGCTAGATTTGTTCCTTCCTTTTGAAAAAAAAAAAATTTTTGGGATGCAAAAACGACGATTGCCGGGTATGAGAATTAACGTGTCTCTCATCAAGTTGATGGGAAAGAAGTGGAAATGAAGAATTATGTGCAAGTTTCGACCAGTAAAGACTAGTCAGTAGTAGAATTCTGTCTTTTAAGCACTAGATAAATGGGCCATGTTATTTACGGTGTAAATGCGACTGATCAAGAAACTCAACAATTCCTACTGTCCCATCATTTATCAATTCCCTTATGACCGTGAGTCGACAAAAAGTTCTTTTTCCCCATTAAATTTACTAACTACTCATGTTTTTTGAGTACCAGTCGTTGCTGGAAGCACTGACCATGAAAAATTATCAAACCTTCGTAGAATATTGTTTCTGACTGGAAAAAATCCAGTGATTCCCAAATTTAAAAACTATTCAGGGCCACAAACAACTTAAAACAAGTGATAAATTGCTGAGAAAATTGATAAAATATATAAATACGAATGACTGGTTTGCCTTACTGTCATGAGGCTAACAGAAGGAAAAACTAACTACTGGTCCAATTTAAATTTTACAGAGCCGAGCTTCACTTTGAGAGATAAAGTGACGATAAGAGCGTCGACCAAAAAAAGTTTGAAGAAGCTATGGTCAGACAGTCGTCGTCCCCTTCGCTTAAGATTTGGAAAGGAAAGGACAAACCCTTTGTAGTACAAGAAGCAAGCTGGAGCAAATAAGGAAAAAAGTCCAGAAAATTTAGGGTTTTTGTCGACACAAAGATCTTAAACGGTCTTGTTAGTCTACAATTTGCTATTAAAGCAAAATTGCAAAATTTACGTCAATTTTACATCCAATAGTGGGAAAAAACGTTTTTTTTTTTCATTTTTTGAACACGAAAAAATCCTTTTTTTTACTACGTCCACTTATTTATTGAAATAAACTTGTTTACAATAACAAGTCAATAAATGTTTTACTTAGAAAGTGTTGCTACTTCTTTGACAACATTCATGCTGCAGCAGAATTTCGAAGAGCCAAACCTGTCAGTAACAATTTGTACATATATAACCAAAAATAGCATATTTTGCATTTCAAGTGCTGCACCCTATTAAAACATTGATAACTCAATTTCTTCTTTATTAATTCCTGTGTAACATCGGGATTCCCCATTGGCTACCCTCTTAACGCATTCT